CCAAGGCAGATTTAAATTTAAACTTCACCTTATCATCAGTACACCTAAAAGGTATCTGTTACTGGATAATATTGTGTGATGATACCCCGAAACTTTATGCTCACGAGTATTTGCCTTGAATGTAACACTCTCAACAAGATAAAAAATTCGAAAGCAAGAATGAGCGAAATTAAATAACACTATTGGACGCACTTAACCTATAGTGAAAAGGCGATTAACAATACAATCTAAGGGCATCAGAACACCAAAGACATAATAAAACTTATGCGGCTAAAATAACAATATCTCTAGCTAGTTTTCAATAACAATAGAAATAATTTAAGCAGCATTCCACAATCTAAAGTTTATATGTGAATTGGAAAATCAAGAGATGAATACTTGCCTTCTGGACGTAAAATTGTAAAAATTATGCGTACCCACATAATGATGGAGCAATTCATTTACTTCGATGACACGTTCAGCAGTAATTCGATATTCATGTTGTGTGGATGCAATTATAAATTCATCTTTAGGAGCTAAAGCAAATGAAGGCATAATGTATTTGTAAACGCGGTGGCTAGCGTTTCCTTTAGCGTGGAATGAACGTGTTGTGCGAAAAACATCTAAAAGTTAAGTCGTTGTGCAGAATTAACAATAAGAATTGACAAACAGTAAGTTCGAAGCTTACCTAAAACTCTGATATCATCAGGAAGGGAGCTGTTCAATGCAGGAACAACGTTGTCAAAATCACGCAACTAAAGTAAATACTAAGAGACAATACCATCATGGAGCATACTTGACCAAGAGCGGAAACACCCTTATCTGTTTTCGATGCACGTTGGAAATTAATCTGTATCCAGTAAATGATAATAAACGAACCTTCGAGGGGCGCTCAAACTGTTCATTAGAAATAAGCCCTGCAGCAAGGAGTGCTTTCAAAAGCTCTCCCTCAATTGTAATAAAAAGTGGATTTCTATGTTAAATAGGTTTAAGTCCATTAAGTACCTCTGCATCCCATAGTAACGTAGGCCAGAATACATAATCAAAATAGCAACGGTCCTGGCACGCGCACACTTTTTTGCGGGAGGCGACTTATCTTCTTGAGACTCAACTAAACTAGCAACACGCTTTGCACCAGTAGAAACCATGATTAAGAACTCTTTTAAGTAATAATTAAA